CGTGTATGGTAGCTGGTTCCTATTGAACACTGAACACTGGTGGCTGTTATTATATTATTATCACCCCCCTCCCTTCTCCTCGGCCACCTTCCATGCCCAGATGCTCACCCCTCTTACCTCGCTCCTCCTCCTTCTCCCGGACGACCCTCCCCTTGAGGGCCCGGCTCCAGGCTCCACCGTAGTCCCCCAGCTTGGCTCTCTCATTCCCGTCCTTGCCCTTGAACCAGGGTCCGTACCTGCGGGCGATGCTCGAGGCTTCACCTGTGTCCCGGAAGCCTCTGCCCAGATTTAAGTCGCCCAAGAAGGGCAGCTCAGCGCCCTCTGCTGGGGCCCCCGCGGCGGGGTTGGCCTGGTTCTGGGAGACAGCGGGCTGACCCACAAAACCAGAGTGAAGGAAGACGAGGCTCCCGGCCGTCAGGTAGAGCACCAGGAAGGTGAAGAAACGCACGGGTTTCCTGCGGAAGTACCGCTGGAATTTGAACCAGAGCTTGGCCATAGCGGGATCATTCCGGACTGGGTCGCTGGGGCTCAGCTGGGGGTCAGGGGATGTGGTCCAGGGAGGGGATGGAGGCGCGCTTTGTTTCTCTTGCTTCCCTTAGGGATGGCGCCCCTGGGAGTCTTCAGTCTTATTCCCTCTGCGAAGGTGATTGCCAAGATCAGATCGGGAGGGCAAGTCCAGAGCTTGGCTGAAGCCACGAGAATGGAGGACGGAGTCCACCAACCCTCCTGAGCTCAAGGTGAGCTTCTTTGGGCCGTGAAAGCGACTTGGAGGCTCAGGACCCCCAGGAGCGGGTCCCATTTTCCTACATCTTGTTCTTTGCCTTGGAGTTCCCGCAGAACTTTGAAAACAGCAATCGGAGGAGGATTTTGCTAGGGCTCACCAACAGCTGGAGTTCACGTCTCGTCCTTTCTCGGTTCCTCATGACTGTCGGGGCTGGATTTTTTCACCGAGGGCTGTTTCCGGGCTCTTCCACAGCTGGGGACCGAGCTCGGCGTGTCCACCAGGTGGAAACAGAAGCTGGCGGGCTTTTATCCAGTCAAGCATCAGGGCTCAGGGCTGCCACCTGCAAGACAGCACAGGCACAGGCATAAGACACCTCTTCACAGAGGCCAGACCTTGAAGGTTCTTGGACATTTGGTGGTGGTGGTGGTGGGAGGTGGGGACACAGAGTCCAGAGTGGGGAGGAAACCTATGGCCTGAAGCACCTAGCAGCGCTGTGTAGAGGCCTGGTCCTGAGTCTTCTAGAACATGTGCCTTTTCCTTTAAACCAAACTGGAAATTTGGGGGTGTGAATCCTACTGGCTCTTGGTTTTGGGCAAGCTTTATTTGGATAAGCATAAGTTCTTACACCTCATACGTCTATTATTTGTCAACTATACACTAAATCGTGGGTTACCTTAAGTCCGAGGAGTACATCCTAGGTCCTTGCTGAACTGTCTGCTAGACCTGGCTGATACTGAGCCAGATCAAATTCATTCATTTCCGCACCCCCCCCCAACAAATATTTATTTAATGAGCACCTACTGTGGCACAGGTGCTGTCCAAGGTTCTGGAAGTAAAGCTGTGAACCAGAGAGACACAGTCCCTTCCCTCACAGGGCTCACATAATGGGAGTGATCAAATCCATAGAACCCTCTCTTCTATCCAAGGAAGAAAAGGAGAAGGAAGGAAGGAAAGCAGAATTATTTAGCAACATATGCATCCACTCGGTATTTGTTGAGTGTCTAGGGTGTGTATACCCTGCTTTGCACCAAGCCCTCTACATGTATTATTTATTCTTCCCCATGTTCCTATGGCAAGTGACTATTTCCCCATTTTACAGATGAGAAAACTGAGGACACACAGCTGGTGAGTGGGGGAGGTGGGATTTGAACCCATGATGGTCCAAACACAAAACCACAGCTGTTAACCCCTGCCTTTTTTGGACTTCATCTTTCTCCCATATGGTCTGGGCATCACCTGGGAATTCAGAGACAGCCCCCGAAGCAGCAGCCCATCTCTGCTGTCTCCCAATGACCAGCAGTCACTCATCCTTTGAGGGTCCCTCAGAGTGTGGTCTGAGAAGCATCTGATTCAGATTCATCTGGGAGCCTGGTTAAACATGAAGATTTCTGACCTCTCCAACCAGAATCTCTGGTGAAGGACGAAACCTACAGGTGTTAACAGGGCCTCCTCAGGTGCTGGTAATGAGCACAAAGGTTTGAGAACCACTGCTTTATGAGTAAACATGCAGGGTCATAAGCAGGAGGAAACAGAATGTAAAGCAGAAAACAGAAAACGCCCCTTGGTTGATGTTGTTTCCTATTACCATCAGCAGGGGGGCCTCGTGACAATCTTGGCCAATGCGAAGGAGTCAATTGTCAGCCAGAGGGCAATTTGAACGTTCACAGCCCCTCGCAATCCAGACAGCAGCATGGGAGTTGAACTGTGGCTCAAGGTGTAGTCCGGTGTCCTCCATGTGCCATCCTGTTCATTCAGGGACTAACTTCTGAGCACCTACATGCACCAATCATTGTTCTAGGCACTTGGAAAAGTTAAATGAACAAAACAGCCCCAAATCCATGCTCTTGTGGGGTAAAACTAAACGTTCATCCATCCATCCATCCACCCACCCATCCATCATCCTTTAATCCATCCATCATTCCATCTACCCATCTATGCATTAAGTCACAATCTATCCACCCACCCATTATCCATTCCTTAATCTATCCATCAATCCATCTACCCCTCCATCCATCCATCATTAATCGATTCATCCATCCGTCCATTCATCTGAACTGTAGCTGCCCATTCATCCATCCAACTCTCCACCCATCCATCCGTCCACCCCATTCTTCCATTCATTTAAAAGCATGTGTTGCTTGCCTATTGTGCGTGTACTTGGAATGCAGAAATAAATAGTTCAGAGTTCCTGCTTTCAGAGAATTCAGAGTCTACTGAGGGAGACAGCAATTTAAACAATCACTATACTAAATCATTATACTAGATAGACAGTGATAAATCCTGCAGTAGATGTGTATATAAGGTATAGAACAGCAATTACTATTAATAGCTAATGTTTATTGAGCTCTTATTACGTGCCAGACACTGCTCTAAACACATACATACGCTGACTTCATCCTCATAACAATGCTACGAGGGAGATCTGTATCTATTTTACAGAGGAGAGGGAAGAGGCTCAGAATGATTAAGTAACGTGTCCAGGGCAGCTGGCTTGTGAACCCAAGGCCATCTGACTTCACAGCCTGTATTCCTAACTGCATGTCTATTCTGGTCTTGTATCCCTTTGAGAATATGGCAAAAAGCTATAGACATATGCCCAGAAAGGACCCCTTGCACTTAAGCTCGTAGACTTTGGCTTACAATGTTGAGGGGTTCTTGGACCCTGGGGTAAGAAGCCCTGGAATGTGGGAGCCCAGAGGAGGGAGGGTCTGCAATTGCCCTGGCGGGGGGGAATCAGAGAGGGCTTCCCCAAGGAAGCTGTCAGGTCTTGTAAGAGGAGTCAGCTCTCTGGATGAAGGAACAGCAGAAGGACACCCTAGGGAGGAGGAACAGCACACACGAAGGGCAGGTCACTGGGGTGGAGGCAGCAAAGGAGCTTAGAGCATGAGGAGAATGTATTTAAGTAGTGGTTAGGGGGCCAGACCAAGGGGAGCCTTGAATGCCGAGCCCAGAGGTCTGGATTGTGCTCTAACAGCGTGTGTGGGGATCCACAGAAGTTTCATGGTCACACTGACACTTTAGAAAGGCGAGTCCCTTATTAGCTTGAAAATCTGCAGGCTGTGGGTGGTGCCCCACAGTATCCTACGTAGATCACACATGTGGCAAATATTTCTAGGACGGGATGAGAGAAGGCCAGGGGCCCTCGTGGGAATGGGAAGGAGGAAACCAGCCCTTCCAGAGGCACGCAGGCGAGAGCATGGCCTCTGGAGGCAGACCGCCCTGGGTTCAAATCCTGCCTCTTCCATCCGCCACCTGTGTGACTGGGGCAAGACACCTCTTCTCGCTGACTGAGGCTCCTCACCTGTGAAGTGGGCGTAAGATGCTGGCACCCTCCCCTAGGACATACTACTGGGTGGATTGCATTAAAAATTGTAGGCAGAGTGTCTGGCATATAGTAAGTGCTCAAGGAAAGCTCCACCCCACCCCCAGCCCCTGGCCCTCTCGTGAGCATGTGTGTGCAGCCTTCAAAGCCCCTTGGCCCCAGCAGCACGCTTACTGCAGTGGAGACAGCAAGGATTCCAGCTGTTGTGTTCCCTGTGGCTTTTGTCTCTCTAAGGATATTTCTGGGTCTAGTTCTTTTTTGTTGTTCCCTTCTCATTCTTTAATATTTCAACACATCTTTTCTCTAAGTGGGTGCCAAATGGGTTTTAAGAGGATAATGAGCTCATTAAAAGCTGGCAGGGAACAGAAAGAGACTGAGGCAATGGTGGTGGTGTGGGGAGTGAGGGGGGAGGGACGGGAAGGAGGGGGGTCTTCCTGGGAAAGGCGGGTGCTGCCTTGAGTCACCCACACCATCCTGCCGTTGTTGGGAGATGGGGAGGTCACCTGGGTGGAGAGCACCCTGGAATCTGAGCCCCACGTGGGTGGGAACCTGTTTGTGCTCCCCCGGTCTGTGTCAGCCCCAGCCCCTGGCACATAGTAGGTCCCCAGGAAACACTGATGCAGAAAGTGAGTGAAGAGTCAGAGGACTGATCTCTCACCCACCCCGAAGCTTAAATATACAACCATGGGTCTGTGTTATGTGCCAAATCCCCCACGTGACAGCCTAAGGGAGCTGTGATTCAGGGCTCCTTGGAGACAGCGTCTTGTATTTCTCAGCTCTGGTCCTGGGGTTCAGGAGCCCCTGCTAAGCCACAGTTCCACTTCCCCAAGGGAACCTCAAAGACCTCGTTTGCTCTCATGCCAATCCAGCATTGTTTCTCCTTCCTCTCTCTCTCTCTCTGTCTCTCTGTCTCTCTATCTCGCTCTCTCCAAACAACTTCTACCCCAAAGAGAATGGGGAAATGAAGCGAACTGTCATTGGTTAAATACCCACCATCAGCTGAACACCGTGTTTAAAGGTTTTACAAACATCCTCTCACAAACTCCTCCCTCTTGGCAACCTGCAAGGCAGGTCTGACGGTTCCCCTTAATCCATTGCTTGTGCATGTCCAACCCTGGGCAGGGCGTATGGCGTGACCTCCAGCCCCTTCACCTCTCAGTCTCTTGTTTGTTCATTATATGCTAGAAGCCGGCATCGCATTGACACCCTCTCCCATCACTTACGGGTGTGCAAGTTGGGCAGATGTCTTCACCTCTCTGAGCTGCAGTTTTCTCTCTACAAAGTGGGTGGCCCGCAGAATCTCCTTCCTGGGGCCCTGGGGAGGACTTGAGGAGGTGACTCCTAGGACTGGAGTTGGCGCTGGCTAAGAGCTGATTATCCTGGCTTCACTCCTCTTTGTTTTACGTGAGACCCCTCTTAGCCTCAGTCTCCCCATCTGTTGAGCGTGGCGGATGACCCCTAACCTGCCTCCCTCCTCGTGAATTACCACGAGGGTGAGGCTGAGAGGCCCCCCTTGCAGGAATGACAGGATTTGGTGTTTCCAGCCGGAGCCCCAGAGTGTCTAAACACAGCCTATTTTTAGTACCAGAATGAGCCTCTGGTGCTGAGCTGCCAGGAAAGCGATGGGCAGGGCAGAGCCGCCCTGCGGGAGGGGAGAATAGGAGGGGCAGCCTGTCCCTCGTCTCCCTCCCCTGGGAGGGTTGTAGTGCTTCCCCTTCCAGACTCGGGAGGGGCTGGGCAGAGACCTACCTGTCTCTCCACAACCCCTTGAACTTGACTTGAGTGCACAAGTCCAGATACCAGCTGACCCCCTGACCATACAGACTTGACAGAAAGTAGCTGCTGAGAAACCAGGTTTGTGAAAGTTCAATTTCTTCACAGTTCTGGGCTGGAGATCCGCCTGGGGATCTCCAAGAAACTGGGAGCCCAGGCCAGTGGTTCTGTCTTAGTCTTGGCCTAATAACAACATCAGAAGTCACTGGTATTTGTTAAGCATTTAATATGCGCCAGGCGCTGTG